AGCGTGGAGCTCTCTCCAGCTTCACACCTGTGAACACCTGGTCAGTCACTGCAGAAAGTATTCATTGAGGAGAGAAGCTGACAGTTGAAGCTGGTGGTGGTATGAATAATTTCAGCCACAAGTTTTCAGTTTTTGGCTGACTCTGGTAGGAGCCAATGAGGCATCATGCTGCCAACTGCCAACATCCTTTGCTGTGAGTAGCAGCTGTGTTGTCTTTCTTCTGTTGAGTTTGTGGCTCCACCAGTTTCACAGAATGTAAACCTTATGCAGGTGGACCTCATGGAGACAGTACAGGCTTTAAATATATATATATATAAAGCTTTTATAAGCAGCGAAAGAAGAAGTTGGTCTCAAGCTGTGGGGAAATAAGCCCGCCTGCTTTTGAGATATGGCCTGTTATGGCACTGAAGTGTTGGATGGATTTCCATTAAACTATACTTTTGTTAAAGTTCCATCTTAATATAAAATGTAATAGTGTTAAACACAATAAAACCCCGTAACAAGAAGGACACTAAAAAAAAACGATTTGTTGGATTTACTTGATTGGAATGTGTACATTGGTCCCACACAATGATAATGTGTAAAACCAACATAATTTTCTTTATGTTAACAGAGGAAACATGAATGAATTGCGTTCCATATACTAGCATAATTTGTGTATATCCAAAGACCCGGTGTTTCCTTTTTTTCAGTGCGTTGCTCCTTACACAAACTCATACTGTCCAGCTAAACATAATGTTTGGACTGGAATATCCCTCACTGTAAATATCATTACCTTTAGTGAAGAAATGGGAAAAGCGAATACAGAAAATGTTCGCTACTGTCAGACAATAATAATAGCCTTGATCACATCAATGTTTAAATCACCAAAATTCTGCTAAATGAATAAATCATAATAGAACTGCAGTGATTTGCACAATGGATCCACACTATTAATACTGTTAGCCACCAAGCTAATTAACTGCTAGTTTAGAGAGCATTTACCATCAGCTCGTGCTAAAATGTAATGATGAGTCCAGAGAACAAAATCCCAGGAGGGAACAAACAATAGAGCACAGTAAAAATGGATACTGTGTTAGCTGTTAGCTCACTAGCTACAGTAGTTCTACACATATCTGAGTAGTCATTTGTCACCAAGATTTGCACACGATGTGTGCTGCAGCAAAAAGTGTATGTGGTGGGGTTTAAAAGCTAAAACACAACTAGCAAACTCCCATAAACATGGTTAGATTACGGACACCTCTTTGCTTCCAGGTGGTTGAGTCCATATTATAACTTAGTGCCTTGTGTTTACTGGACTGGACTAAGTGGAGGGAGATAGGGGTTCCCCAAGACAAGAATATGAGAAAGAATATGTTGTGATGGTTATGGTGCAAACATGTGCAAAGATAGAAACAAGTAGGAGGAAATGAAAGTGAGCGTTGGGGAATGAGAAAAGAGAATGAGAGTGAAGATAGAGGGAATCTCCTTTGAAATGTTCACCAAGATCTTATGTGTGAGCAGGGACAGGAACGTTGGTGGAAAACCAGAGAGGTATAAACAGACAAAAAGACATCAGAAGTGGAAGTCTTGGTTGGTTCCTGTTTTCAGCGCTAAGTGATGTTCTGAAACACATCAGTTCCTTTTTGACTCACACACAACCATAAAACACACACACGCACCTGTACTCCCATACCTGTGGTAGCCTTCACTGACCTTAACTAGCACAACCTAACCCCAACCTTCTACAGTTTCAAATCAAATCAAATTTTATTTGTATAGCGCCAAATCACAACAATCAGGACATCTCAGGACACTTTACAAAGTAAGGTCTAGATCTTACTGTTATCAATATGGAGGCAAGAGCTATGTCATCTAAAGTAACGTATTTGGATTCCTCTGCTGTATGTGTTTGCTGGCTCTGATCTCGGACTGTTTATACCGACCTGTGATTTTTGTGTTTCACCGTGTCTTGTATGGTTTTGTTTAGCGTTAGTTCTCTTATTAAAGAGACGGTTTTGTTTTACATTTCCTTGTCTGGCCTTTTAATTGAGTTCACCCTCAACATTTTTGGCAGCATAACGCGCCGATTCCTGACATGTGGTGTGTGCGTGTGTGTTTGTCTTTATATACTTGTGCGAACCAACCCCTGATGGAACACCTTTCTTGTGTGGACATTTCATTGGTGACTTTCACCAATGCGGTTTCTGTACTATGATGGACTCTAAATCCTGACTGAAAATCCTCAAACAAATCATTCTTGTGCAAGTGGTCACATAACTGCTTTGCAACAGCTTTTTCAAGGATTTTGGAAATAAATGGGAGATTGGATATTGGTCTATAATTAGCTAGGACACCTGGGTCAAGAGTAGGCTTTTTGAGTAGAGGTTTAATTACTGCAAGTTTAAAAGCCTGTGGAACATAACCTGTTAATAGAGAGAGGTTAATCAGATCTAGTATGGATGTGTTGATTAGGGGAAAGACGTCTTTGAGCAGCCTGGTCGGGATGGGGTCCAGGAGACATGTTGATGATTTAGATGAAGCAATTGTTGAGGTCAACTCAGAGAGATCTATAGGGGAGAAGTAGTCCAAGTATAAATGAGGTCTTACAGATGTTTCTAAAGCCATTGTAGTAGATGGCACATCTGTGAGAGCTGTGGGAGTGGTCCGACCAATTTTTTTCTCTAATAGTTGTGATTTTATTTGTAAAGAAGCTCATGAAGTCATTGCTGCTGAGATCTAAGGGAATGTTAAGCTCAACAGCACTGTGGCTCTTTGTCAGCCTGGCTACAGTGCTGAAAAGAAACCTGGGGTTGTTCTTATTTTCCTCAATCAGTGATGAATAAAATGTGGTTCTGGCACTATGAAGGGCTTTCTTATATGTTATTAAACTATCTTTCCAGGCTATGAAAAACTCTTCTGACTTAGTGGAGCGCCACCTCCTTTCCATTTTTCGTGATGCCTGCTTTAGGGAGCGGAGCTGCGAGCTGTACCATGGGGCTAGCCTTCTCTGTTTCACTGCCTTCCTTTTCAGAGGGGCAATGGTATAAGTGTATTACGCAGGAAGGCTGCAGTACTATCAACAAGATTATCGATTTGTGTGGGAGTAAAGTTAAGGTGGCCTCCTTCCACTGTGTTGGCAAACGGCACTGAAGTAGATAAAGATGGAATTATTTCCTTAAACTTGGTAACAGCATTGCCAGATAGACATCTGCTGTAGTGGAATTGTTTCCCACATAGAGTATAATCCATTAATGGAAATTCAGAAGTTATTAGAAAATGGTCAGACAGAAGAGGGTTATGGGGAAAAACTATTAAGTGTTCAGTTTCGATGCCATATGTCAGAACAAGATCAAGAGTGTGATTAAAACAGTGAGTGGGTTTATTTACAGTTTGAGAGAAGCCAACTGAGTCTAATAATGAACAGAATGCATTGTTGAGGCTGTCATTGTCAGCATCTACATGAATATTAAAGTCGCCTACTATGATTATTTTATCTGTACTAAGCATTAAATCAGACAGAAAGTCTGAGAATTCACTTAAAAACTCTGAATAAGGAGCAGGTGGACGGTATACAATAACAAAGTTTACCTAAACTTAAACCATAAAACCAAGTTTGAATTCTCAAACAACCCTTAGAAGTGACAACCAGAAATGTGTCAGACGTCAAAGTCTAAAACTCAAATTGGTCCTCACAAAGATAAAAAATACTCACACACAGCTTCCGTCAGCTGAGTCATCTTGTTCCTGTGCTGACCTTCTTACAAATGTCAGCTTCTGTGATGAGAGTCTTAGTTATAACAGCCTGGATCAGTTCTCAGTACAAGTTCTTTTTATCAGAAAGTATCTAGACTTGATTATTGTTTTGACTGAGCATCACAATAGTTTTGACACACTGAACATGTCGAAGTTGGTTTGTTGTTCAAACTAATACCTGCAATTCAGTTTTATCACCCCGATCAGAACATTCTCCACTGAGTCTAGTCGATGTTTCTGTTGCTAATACTCCAGGGCTCAGCGACACTTTCTGTGCTTTATAGTTGTGAAATTACCTCCACTTCTCCTATTCTCCACATAATATACACTTTGTATATCAATTACCAGCAATATATCAAAATTTTGTTGAATCACTGCTATTTTGTTTCACCACTAACAGCAGGTGTAATGTCACATATACTCATTTTCACATATGTTAAAGTTGAATTATTTGTGCGTTTTTAAAATGTATGTAATTGTATTATTATGTAAATGTAGCAGATGTAATTAATCGCTCATATATATATTTCATCGAATCCATTCTCTGCCGTCAGGTTTGTCATGCAAACTGTTTAAGATCCTCCCTTTCTTGTTTTTTGAGCTTCTATTTTGTTAAGTTTTATTTCTGTGATGTAATTTCCTGTGCGCGATGTCACTTCCTGTTAATTCGCGCCGCTCTCGTCAGTCGGCTAGATGCAACGAGGAGGAGAGTATGTACTGTGTATGTGGAGCCTGGCAAAGCGAGCTGCTGTATGTTTCATTTCCTTTTTGCACAGAATAAAGTCCTGTGTTGGGTAATCTGACGGCAGTGGTCCTCCTTTCAAGTTGAAGACACAACGCAGAGTCCCAGAAAGTTTACTGGTGCCCTGACAGACGGGCTACATAAAGTTCACACAGACTTTAGATGCTTCTACAAATGGCCATAAAATAAATATACTGCACTAGTGGACTCGCTTGGGACAAAGCCAAATAATTCAAAATCCATTTTGCTATAGGGTTTTACTTTACGTTAGAAAAAGTCAGCACACCTGGGGCCAGATGCACAAACAGTGCGTAGGCCTACACATTAAAACAATGAATAACGTGCGGGAGGAATGAGCACATCTCACGCATTCTTCAGACCATGTGTACACATTGTTTGAGTAAATGCGATGTGGTGACGCAGAAATGAAATAATAAGGTGAGACCGACCATTTTAAACAGCTTACATTCTTTTTAGCCGTTTACATATACTTCAGTTGGCCCGGCTTTTATTTTTTGCCTTAATTTCCCGTTTTTCTTCTTAAAGTTTCTGCTGATATAACCGTTAATTCATTTTCGTTTAATGACTAACACACACCACTAGCTTAACTATAAGCCTTTGCAGCTAAATTACAAAGAAAATCTGTAGCTGTGCGTAATGGCCGTGCGTAAGGATGGCTGTTCTGCCGTTATAAGACGAGCAAGAGTGTTTTAGAGAAGGCACACAGCTTCCCTGTGCATCTGTGTGGCGAAAACTGCGATTCGTTCATCTACTGTAGATAATGCAGGAGGCGCGGGCCCTTCTCCTGTCGCTTCTCACTTTGCGCGTATACGCGCTCTTCTGTCTCTCGCCTACAATGACACCTCAGCCATCTGCTCTGAACTGGGAGCACTGGAAGCTTTTCTTCTGTTCGTGATCCTTGAATTGAGACCACCGAACAAAGCATGTTCTTTTCTCCACTATCCTGCTCTCGGGTGTGGTTCAGACATCGTTTTTTTCTATGTAAATTATTGATTAAGGGCGTGTTTGTGTCCATTTATGTCCAAAAGTAGGAGTGGGAAAAAAGCTCATGTGCCCAGTTCCATGACGATTCAGATTTATAAAACAGAACCAGGCGTGTCTGCGGTTTTATAAATCGGACTAAAACAATGGTACCGTCACTTGTATCTGCGTATAAGCAGGTTGCTTCATGAATCTGCACAGACCAATTACTACAGAACTGATTTGTTGTCATTAAGGACTATTTTCTTTCAAAAACTGCCCACAATTGTTCTAAGCAAGTGTAACTTTACAATGTTAGAGCAGAAATTAATCCCATTCACCTCCTATGCCCGGTACCTGCAGCTGAAATTGTGGCATGGCAAATGAAACTACTGCATGGCTAAAAACAAGAAATTGGGATTTATGTTTTTGTGTCCGATTTGGGTGGACTGAAAATTAAAGCAGGGGAAGTCCCGACTCTGTGCTCTGTAAAGTCACCCCAGTGTTGGGTACCAGATACTAAAACATTTTGACTTTTTACCTGTAGTTTTGTGGTTTTTAAAACACTATATATATAAATAAACTAACTATGCATCTTTAAATCAGTTTAATACATCTGGTTTCAATATATTTAACTGAAATATGTGACAAGCTTTTTCCAGGGGAGAAGCGATTGTGATTTGTATGATTTGATGACGAGTTCCTCACGCATCAGCCACAGTCTGGATTTGCTTGGACATGCCTACAGAAGTGTGAGCAAGAGAGTGAGAGCTACCTGTACGACTATAACCACCCAAAGAAGCTGCTTGCTACGTTACTTATATACTGTATACAGAAAAATCAGAGCCTAGTTAGCATACTTATAGACAAACTACATACAGTAGAACATTTGGTGATTTGGGTACCTGAGCATCAAATCACCGCTGGAAAACTCTGGTTATTGAATGCAGCTTCTTACACCTTGTAACCAGTCAGATCTATCAAGATCAGTGCCTGAATGAAGACGGTGCACGAGGTCTGGTGTTGTTGAAATGCTGACAGCAAAGCTCTGGAACAAAATAGTAACAGGGCTAGCTGATACTTGTTTGATCATCTCCTGCATGTCGCCATACAATTGCACAGTTTCAACAAGATGCTCACTGTGCTCCTGTAATGAACACATAAACTCAATGAACTCAGAAACAAATGTGCTGTTACAACAAATACTGAGTAGAATAAACTGGTGAAACCATTTGTGCCACAATAATCTGTACTGAAATCACTCATCACCTCTCCTCCTCCTGTCTAATGAATCTGAGCGTCACTCATCACCTCTCCTCCTCCTGTCTGTGGCGGTGTCTAATTCCATACCATCTGATGAATCTGAGCAGGTTTTGAATAGATGGTCCACAAATAGGACTGTACTGCATGTCTGTATGCACACACACACACACACACACACAAGCCTGTTTTTGAGTGTGCTATTGATTGTACAATATTAAATGGACACGCTGATGGTCAGAAAACACTGCGGCCGATGGTGAACCATCTCAAGGAACCTCTAAACATAAATCCATAAAATAATCTTTACAATACCTTTTTGCTTTCTCAGAGCTTTAAAATCACAGTGACTGATTTCTGTTAGTACAAGACAAAAGTATTCTGATATCTTCCATATTAAATCCAAACAATATCAAAACTTGAACATATAGAATGTAGTGGGAATTGGGACAAAGCTTGTCTTCTAATAAAGCCCCATCTGCTGCTAATATTTCTCTCACCTCCAGTTTTATTGCCTTTAACACCATCTTTTCATAATGTCTCTCTGTATGTGTTTGTACTTGTGTGATTTAGAGCTGTGGGGAAAACATGTCTTCTCATCAGCTACACAACCAATGCCTTCCCCGGGGAGTACATTCCTACTGTGTAAGTGTGACACACACAGACATGTGCTTGCTCTCTCTCTCTCTCTCTCTCTCTCTCTCTCTCAGGTATAACAAAAACATACAGTAAATTACATACAAGCAAACCACCATTTAGATTTATGTATGAACGTGCATGCACTGCAGTATGCCAGTGACTGCATGGCTCTCTCAGTCTCTCTCTCTCTCTCTCTCTCTCACACACACACACACACACACACAGATCTGACAGGTTTGGGCCGGCATCAGCCTACAGGTTAGGAAAAACAATTTCCCAACTTTTGTCCCCTTTAGCCTTTAACTGAGGTTTCAATACACAACTAGAAGCCAACCCATCAATTAAACACAATCAGTAAACTCTTAAACAACTAAATTAGACTGGAAACAGTTAAAGAGAAGGAAGATCATGCCTCTTAATAGCCTATAGCAGTAGCTTTTCACTAACTGAGTGTGTGAAACAGGATGACGCTAAAAACTGTGTTCATCAAAGTTGCATAAGGGAAAACAAGCACTGAATTTAATGCAGTCCATGGCATACAGTCACTAACTGCTCTGCACATTAAGCTTTCTGGTAATTGTTAAAATGTGCAGGGTGCAACTGAACACACCACAGGGCCAGAGTAAAGTTTGGGAAGGAGCTCATACACATGCAGTGCTCCATTGTGACCACACGATGGCACTGCTGCTTACATTTAATAAATGACTAGCTTAGAGCTCTGCCTGGGATTTTGAAAATGATCCATCATCCATCATCTACACCACTTATCCTGAATAGGGTCGGCTGGAGGGCGAATGGGGGCTGGAGCCTATCCCAGATGACATTGGGAAAGAGGCGGGGTACACACTGAACAGATCACTAATTTAATCACAGGGCTGACATGTAGACAAACAACAACACTCACTCTTATAGGCAGTTTAGAGTCACCAGTCAACCTAACCTGCATGTCTTTGGACTGTGGAAGCCAAAGAACCCACACAGGCACAGGGAAAACATGTAGACTCCACACAGAAAGGCACCGGGGGCTCAAACCCGGAAACCTCTTGCTGTGAAGCGACAGCGCTAACCACTGCTCCTCCCTCTGAAAACGTGTTAACTGTATTCCTAGTGAACCTAACCTCTTCAGGGGTACTTCAGTGTAGTCTGGTAAACTCTACTTTTCCACTGTTCCACTAATAGAAGGCTCTCCTTTTAAAGGTGACCCATCTACTTATGAGATGCTCCCTTGGCAGGATGTCATTTTTATGGCTCTTGTAAATCACATGTATTGTTTGAATAGTGACATGAATGAAAGAATGACTTATTTATTAATTGATCGCTGACCTCCTTCGCTCCCCACAGCTTTGACAACTACTCAGCTAATGTAATGGTGGACAGCAAGCCAGTCAACCTGGGCCTCTGGGATACGGCTGGACAGGAAGACTACGACAGGCTCCGCCCACTGTCCTACCCACAGACGGTATCTAATCACTCACTCACACACGCACAGTTAATTTAATGGAACTCAGGGAAAGTATAAATTGCAAATGCAAAATCCATACAGAAAACTTCTGCCTGATTGTTCTATAGATTTCAAGAGAGGAAAAGGAAGATGATGTTACTGAGGAAGCTGCTTATTGTGAAAAGACAAATACAGTACATGCCTTATAATGTAAACTAATATCAATAAAAAAGGAACAAAAAATTGTATTGATATTAAAAATGTAACAATACACATCTATATATACATATTAAAGTTTATAGCGATAATGCACGTTTCTCTTTGAGACTGAAAATAGAGCTTTGTTGCTTGATATGCATTTAATTCTAAACATGGAGTGAAAACTGGTATCAACCCAAAATGAATGGCCATCACATTGATATCTATATTTTATTTGAATTTGCTTCTTGGCCTAAAACCCATATGTAATGTATCCCGGCTATTATATAAACTACTTTTAAGATAAAATGCTGTTTGTCTCATCAAAAAAAACCTCATTAAACTCAACACTGGCTAAACTTGACCTTGGAGATTTGTTCTGACAAAATATTAGTATCAAATGGTTAATTTGTTTGCTTTATCTAGAACCTTTAGCCCCACCTTGTGGCCTTCATCAGCAGCTGACATTGTTCTTGTGGTTTAGATATCATGGAATTTCAGTCATGTAATAACCACACAATATGTTAGTGAATGGAAAAACAAAGTAAGTGGATGTCGTTCTAAGAATGGCTGGCAACACTTTATTTTACAGGTCTGTAAATTCCAATTTATTTCTAAATAATTTCCTGGAAGGACCCATGAAGTTTGGTACCAGGTACAGAATGACCAGTTGTTACCCTTCCAGTTATTTCTAAATGCTAAGCTAGCACACGCCTTTATGCAAGAGGACAGAAGGTGAACTACACATGCAGAAAAATTCATCTGAACACCAATAATAAAGTCCACACTGCTCAGTGGATTAAGATCATAAATAAATAAGTCTCTGAACTTTTTTCCTCATTTTTCTGTAATTAATATGAAACTACATGATTCTTTCCAGAAAATCTTTAATTAATTAAAATAAAGCATTACCAAATCTTTTCACTTTTCTGAATCAAGTAAAAAAATAACAGTTTCAACAAAATCACAGTTAAAGAAAACACCACAAAAAGGGGAAAATACCCGACACAAAAATAAACAAAGCATTAATCCTGTTACAGGAAAAGAATAGTGTAACTGTTTTATCATGAACTATATAAAAGTGAGAGCGCCAGTGCAGATCGGTCTACCATCTAATGTGCTCTCTTTCATTTCACTGTCAATCATCCAGGATGTGTTCCTGATCTGTTTCTCTCTGGTGAGCCCGGCGTCCTACGAGAACGTCAGAGCTAAGGTGAGTCTCGTCTCCGCCGAGCTCTTTACAGATCACTCACTTGTACACTGTATGTTTCCTTTAGTCCTCAAATGAAAATGGCTGTGGTTATTATCATGATAAAGAAAAAAGGTGAATGGGATTTGCTTCTGTTACCATAACGGTTAGAAAAAGAGAAAGAGCAGGAACAAATCAGGATCACAAAAACTGTTCCTGTCTAAAACAAACTTGAACTTTTGGAGAATTTCAATTTACAAACCGAGACCTAGTGGTCAGGGTTAGATAGGTTACTGACATGAACATTATGATCGGGTATTAAAGATGCATGTACACCCTGAGATAAAGTTCTGAACTCAAAGACTGCAAAAATCGTAAATACAATAAAAAATTGCAGTGTTTTAAATTCATATTAAATGTTATTTTGTCCATTGATTTATAAGAGAGCTGCAAATAAAGATTATTTGCATTGCAAATAACATACAATGCAAATATACAATGAGAAAAGCAGAGAAAAACAGGACGGGCACGGCCGGAAGCATCAAGTGTTGTATTCCAGGGTCGTGAGGGTTAAATTGATCTGTGCTTCAACCTCAACTCATCAAAAAGAAGACCACCTTATACCCTAGAAGGCTTTGTTAATTAAAACCTTTCATGTATGAACACATCTCAAGAGCTCTCTTGGTTTCATGTGTTTGCTATTTCCTGCTCACACGAGGTAGATGCATAAAAAGCCAGTCACTGCTCTAATACATAATATAACCAAAGGAAATAACATCAGGTATATTAAATTTAAATTTGTTTTACTTAAGTTTACTATGTTTACTTTGCTCTTCACTATGAATCCCATGCAAGTCCTCATAATAATAATAATAATAATAATAAGGGACTGGAGTGGTTGAATAAAAAGTGGCTCCTGCTGGCAGGGACGGAAATGAAAAATGATGGTGGTGAAGAAAAGTGGAAATTCAATAGTGGAAAGAAGGTTTAATGTCTAATGTTACACACAGAAAAAAAAACTGTACAAATACATACATCATTCATGAATTACAAATAAGCAGTTTAAATAATGTTGCTTAAATGTCTTTAGTACACTATTTGCATTAATTGAGTGCAATCGGTTAAGCATACAAATATTTTTTGGTCATTTTCGAACAATACTCATTCTCCCAGGAAAATCGTTTAATGATTTTAAACCTTGAACAGTTTCAGACAAATCCGTTCGTCCCTTCATCATTTTCAGAAATACCCGTTTGTTTTTGTGTGTAGAGTTTAACAGTTATTGACAGAAGGGCACCAGAGCTAAATGTCAAGCAGTTCAAAGCACAGTGACCCAGTGGAGTATCAACAGTATCCTGTTCCAGCAGGGTCCAGCTGACATTAATTGCTCTGCTACAGTACATTACAAGGACCACAGTCAACTGGAGCCAACGAGCAGAGAGACTGCTGGAGAGGAATATCTTACTGTATGTGACTGTATAGTGCAGAGGTGTTCCAGTGCATCAGGACAGGTCCAAGGAACGTTTTATAAGACAAGCCAAAGTCAAGTCATTCAAAAAGAGCTCAAGAACAAGTCTTGAGTTATTTGAGACAGCGTCTCAAGTCAGTCAAGTCTCAGGGCTTTTGGAGAAAGTTTAAAGTCTTAAGTCAAATCAAAACAACCCAATTCATTTCTCAAGCAAAATGAGTAGAACTCAGTTGTTCAGAGTAAATGTCAAGTCAGTTTAGACAAGTCCAGGTCAAACATGAACTGGAAGTCAAGATGCCAAGCCTCTGAATGCAAATGAAAAATGAAATGGCGTGTGTCAGATTTTAGATTTTTAATTAAAGGATCGTGTCTATTCAAAGCCTGCCTGATACTGTGTTGGTCATTTTGTATCGCTCTGGGAGTCTGCTCTCTGCACCGCACTGGTAAAAAACTGGCCTCTCAGCTGTGACACACACAGAATGTCACAAATCAATTTAAGTTTATTTTAATTACACTTCAGAGAGAGACAAAACTGGGAGTCTGCTCTCTGCACCGCACTGGTAAAGAACTGGCCTCTCAGCTGTAACACACACACAGAATGTCAGAAATCAATTTAAGTTTATTTTAATTAAACTTCAGAGAGAGACAAAACTGGGAGAGAGAGGTGGAGATTTTCAGCTATACAGGGGGAGCACCAGGTAATACCCATAATCCCCACATGTCAGTCAGCTGGCTTGTGCGCATGCTGATCCACTAAGCGGCCTGGATCTGTCATTCAAAACCAACTATAACTGGCCTGTGGCTGCAAACAGAATGTGCTTAATTCTTAAAACAGATAAGATCTCTCATTTCCTCGCTGAAGAAAGTGGATAGAGAGAGGGTAGGAGAGGGAAAAATTGGAGCGAGGGAGTAAAAGGAAGACTTTTAATAGGGAAACTGGAAGATCAGGTGAGGGAGGGAGAAGAGAAGAGATTAGAAACACCTCCGGGGTTCTCTCTCTCCTCTCCTCTCATCTCCCTTCACTCCCGTCATTTTGTCAGCTCTGACACTTCTCACCTGTTGTCTACCAGTGGTACCCAGAGGTTCGCCACCACTGCCCCTCCACACCCATAATCCTGGTGGGCACCAAGCTGGATCTGAGGGACGAGAAGGATACCATTGAGAAGCTGAAGGAAAAGAAGCTGGCACCAATCACCTACCCTCAGGGCCTGGCTCTGGCCAAGGAGATAGGTCAGTCACGCACACTGAGCTTCCCCCAGTGACAGGGACTGTGCAAACCAACAGTGTTTAATCACTCAGCAGGTTATATTGTGTTCCAAAGAAATGAATGCGGTCAGTGTATTGGGTTGCTGGCTGATTTATGTTTATTGTGGTTGAAGGTTTGAATGGGTGAATTGATGGCCACCAATAATTCTCTTTGACAGAAGAAAGCAGCTTATGTTTTATCCACAACACAGTAGCTACATTTGTCCTAACATCAACTTTGCAAGAATAAAATTCTCTAGTCCTTTTTGATTAGTTTCACAGATGAATGAATGTGTTGCTGCTAGTTTTGCCTTAGACCCATCACCTGACTCTGTCATGTCTCACATTGCAATTAGATGAAACAGAAATAATATAAATGATAAAGGGGAAGTAAACCCATGTAAATGATATTTCAGATGTTGTACAAAGATCTCATTAAGCTCAAATCCATCAAATCAAGACTTTATCAAACAGTGTTTGCCTCTGTATTCATCATACATACAGACGCCGTGAAGTACCTGGAGTGTTCGGCTTTGACCCAGCGTGGTCTGAAGACTGTGTTCGATGAGGCCATTCGTGCCGTGCTCTGCCCTCAGCCCACCAAGGTCAAAAAGAAGCCCTGCTCACTGCTGTAAATGGTAAGACTGATGTTCTCTAAATACAAAGGGAGAGGAGGAGAGAGGTCAAGACAAGACAGAAAAATCAAAAACTGAACAAGTGAGGTGGAGTAGGAGTCATAACGACGATTCATTTATTCATATGCCTTTACTGGATCTTAAGTCTGAATGCATCCTACAGTACCTGAAACAATTAACACTAAACAATAAGAGACATCTCTTATTTGCCCCACACACTGGAGAAAAAGTAAAAGTGAGTCAAAGAGGATGAAAAGGGCAGACAAGAAAACAACAGACACACAACAAGACACGGTGAATAGGTAACAGATGAAGTGACCTCTGATAACACACTGGAAATAAAGGCTGTTTCTCGTCAAGTGATTTCACTAAAGGATATCACAGCACAATTACTTCCAAGCCTTCAGGGCAGATTTTCTATTTGCTAGTCAAGAGGACAGACGAATGCAACGAATTAAAACATGCAATGATAATTGGACAGACAACGATCCAAGCCTTTTACATTATATATGTGCAACTGAAAAAGACCAAAAAATAAAGCTTTGAGCTTCTGACTTTTTGAAATGACAATAACGGCCACATCCTGCTGGCATTTCAATATGCCAATGTAGAGAGAGAACTGCATGTGGAATAATGAGCCACTTATTTGCTGAGAAAAACAATAGTTTTAGTTCTTAATGTTAAAGCAGAAATGAATTTTCTTGGATGCCCTCCTTCATTTGAACTTGCTGTTTAATGAAGATGTTACAGACTCACATGCTCTTTGCCATTTTAGATTTTTGCAGAACCAGAAAGAAGAGAGAGATTCAGACCGCTGACCTTGGACTAAAAGAAGAGGATTTGAAAGTTCTGCTATGTTTCTAATAAGAAACTATGACTAGATTTCAACTAGTTAAAACAAAACGCTTTTGCAGTTACAATAAAACAGCAGCAAACCTTTCTGTACAGCATACTCTGAGACTGAATTTTAAAGTGCATTACAGACGCAGCACCAGGGCAGGATTTTTTCTCTAAAATAAATCATCTCATCAGAATGAATCACTAAATGTGGAAGCAACAGGCTGCCCCATGTAAGCTCAGGAGCAGCTTGCCAGCTTTATCCGGTGTACCAACATTCCTGGACACATCTCACTGCCCTTTTGGAGCCAAAATATATATGAAAGGTCATTTGCAGCTTCAAATAATATTTGTTATTGAGTGCAAACATTGTATTGCAATAAGAATGGTTAACAATGTGTTGTGGTTTGTTGGAATCAGAAATGTAGCTTTGTATGAGCAGGGAGCTGAACTATGTTGTATTTGAATACAATGTATTAAATGTATTTTTTTGTTGTAATAATAGAATAAAAAACATCAAGTTATCTGCAGATAGTATTAATATGACGTTCTGCCTCTGATGAAACCTGTTGTGTTCTAGTTACTGAACAGACTAATAATGAAGTGCAATCAGTGTGGAGGCTCTGCCTTAACGCTGACATATTGGAGTGTATTTCTACCTTCCTTTACAGGCATCATCCATCTCCTTGAGGGCAGGCCACCAGAACACTGACATCAATCTGACTTATTGGTTTGTGCTGATTAACAGAGGCTAACTGATGAATGGTGTAAATGGGGGAGAGGTTTACGGTCAGCTCCTGATCGGGTGGGAGACATCACTCACTCTTTAACCGTGTGTCAAAACAAATGATCCTGCATAGGTCAAAGCCAGAGCTGAAGACAATCCAGTGCAGAATGAGGATCTTGTTAGCCATATTTCTGTATACTTTAGCAAACAGTAAATGCAAAAAAAGAAATCTAAAGTTTTCTATACATGACAAATGTTTCTTTTCTCCACCCTAAACCCTCTTCGGAGGCTTAATGATTTGTCCAACAGCAGCCAGTACACACACACACTGCTCCACAGTAGCATGGCCAGCAACCTTTTCAAACCAGATTATCTTTGACTTGATGACAGAACCTGGGGCTGATGGGTCAGATTAGGATCAAAAGAGACACACAGCACATGACAAGGTCTTCTTGTTTTATACAATTACCAGTCAGGTTGAACACTGATGAAACAGAACGCTCTGGAGAAAACGAAGGGCACAGTGACAGGTTAAGATGATTTTCACAACAAACTGCATGACAACCTTGATCACCAGGGGAAAAAGGTGAGAAACATAAACTAGAAAAATTGTTTGTTGCTTTCTGAGTCAATCTTTCTAACCTCAGCAGCAGCCTTGCTATGACCAGATTCACACCAACCCACCCATTATCGACACAGCTTACCCTAATGAGGGCTGGAGCCAATCCCAGCTGACACAGGGCGAGAGGCGGGGTCCACCTTGGACAGGTCAGCAGTCTATCTCAGGGCTGACAGAGACAGACAACCACACACACCTACATTCACCCCTACAGGCAAATGCACCTGTAGCAGAGAGACTAACCATATTTAATGGGTGTACAGCATTAAAGAGGGAACCAGCTATGAATATCCTCCCCAGCAAACTGGAACTGAGCTCCACTAAAGGAACAACTACAAGTTAACAGAACATACCAGGTGGTTCAAACACTAAACCACATTTAAGGAAAGCTGAATCAATGGTGCTAAAAACACCAGACACTTCAAACAGTATAATTAGAATTATCTTGTGTATACAACAGGACAGACCCTACTTACCACCAGGGTATGAAAGGGGTTAACAACCAGGGAGCTAAACCAGTGCTTGCAGTTAGAAATCCCATGACACTTTAGAAACTTCCTAAAGCAGTGTCAGGCTCCGTGCCTCTGCAGTATGAACCAAAAGAGCCACATGGCAGTAAGTCACAAAGCTAACAGGTGTTTTAAATAGCCCAGGCCCTGACTGACAGGAAGGGAGGGGCTAGAAGTGGCAAAGGTTACGTTCAAGAGCGGTGAGGGGATGTTTCCCATTCCCACAAGCACACTGGGCCTCCTTGGAGAAATATGGAAACACTGACAGAGGAACCTCATCTTATTTTCTCTACTGGTATATGTGAAGAGTTTATTGCTCTAATATGTCAAACACTGATCATAATTCAGGTGCAAAATATACCATATTAGTTTATATATACAATATTGCTCAGCACATGTTTGTTGTCCACTGTGTATCACACCAGGGACAGATTTAGTTTTTAACCACACCAGGTAGTCCCTGTCACAGATGCCTCTCAGCGAGTCAGTGAAGTCAGTTAGTGATAGTGGTAGGGAGCAGAGGTACAATAACTCCAACATCAGGAGTGGAGTCTACACAGGGATGAGGACCCAAACTGAAGGAGTTAACCCTCTAGCCAGGTTTATTCCACATGTCGCTCATACAAGAGGTGAATTTGGTCCAGTCAAAATTCATCTTTTGCTCTAAATGTCTCCAACGTTGGGAACCTATAGGTGGGACTGAACTAAACAAGAAGAAATTCTCTAAAAACTCTAAAACTCCAAAAAGCCTGTAATCAGATCATTTAGGCAAATTAAATAGAACGTAGGAGGCAGTCTCTGTGTGTGTGTGTGTGTGTGTGTGTGTGTGTGTACTACAAGGAAGTATTCATTCCTGGTGTTATGAATATATTGAGTAACTTTATTTCTAAATGTTTGGAAATTGTGCAGAAATATGCTCATTATTACCTTGTTTGAAAGGTAAAAGCAACAAAAATCCATTAGACAATTATTGTACCTCATCATTTTATTTTAAAGTTATATTGTTTATCATGGTTTTCAATGTGGTTTAAAGAAAAATTTATTATGTCTCTTTATAGTTATTCTATACAATGACTGTAAAATGACAAACAAAATTTATAGAATACGAACATAGGAAAATGCACCGTACTTTGTTCAATTGTTTATTTTTACAAATTTGATTTTTAAAAATGTTCAAATATTGGGGATTGCAAATGATAGCAGGACATTTAACATATACTAGTCAATAGTTAAATTATTACTTGTAAATTCAGAACTCCAGTAATTCTGAAAGGGGAACTGAGAGGACCACATATTGTTTAGCCACCCATTAGACATTTTTTGCGTTTTTCTATGTTTTTT